CCGCAATACATTATTTTTTTTGCAGCATACTGACGTAGAAGACGAATGGAAGTGGTAAGAAAATACCACTTCAATTGTAGTTCCAAAATAACATGGAGAGATCAAAATCAAACATATAATCTGATATGGATTATATGTAATGTGGAACGTGAGCTAAACGTGAAACTCAGTTATAACAAAGCAGGAAGGGGCAATGAAGTTTTTAAAAATTGTCACCTGCTTGGAAAGAAGAATTCAAGTGCAGTAACTCATTGAAATCGATTCTTGTAACAGGTTCCTTACTTTATACGTAACTTCGTGCAATATTTGAGGTCGTTATTATATTTGAAAGTCCACTACATCTGAGTTGATGCACTTTCCTATCTTGACAAGAGGAAATTTAGATTATCCTCATTCAATTCTTCTATTTTTGTTTTGCCTGTTGTGCTCCAAATTTTGTCTTTTTTAGAGAGCCTTTGAATTCGCTTATATTGTCTCTAACTGTTGCATTAGACAATACATGTTTTCTCAAGTTTTAATTGATCGTCAAGTGCTATAATGTTTGCATCATATAATGTGGCTATCACTTTATTACCATGTGCAAATAAGAGAAGAAAATGAAGATATTAATAGGAATAGTAGTTATAGCAAAAGCGAAAAAATATTTGTACTTGTGAATATGTATTTATCTCCAAATTCATTAGAACAAGATAGAGGTATCGGCCAGTAGTATTACTGGCAGTTCTGAGTGTTTATTTTCATGCAACAGTTACTTTTGTAGACCAATTTTATGGGATAAGCTTAAAATAAAAGCTGATCTCTTTAACATTAAACGTGACAAATAAATACACATCACAGTTACCAGATGCATCTACCAACGATTAAGAAATTCTTCCTTCTTTTTCTCACTGGCAAGTTTTATTCATATTATTTCCTTTTTATGTAGTAATTAATTTGTAATGAAGAATAGAAGACTGCAAAACTGTTATTAAGAAAGAAACATACACTTCAAAATAGGATCGCTATGAAATTATCTATTACACTTTTACATTAACAATGTTAAAGTTTTTCAATACGGCTATTTTATTGTATTAACATTTTTAACCATTTCTGATCTGATATAACTTCTTATTCAACAGAGAAAAAAATAAGTCTGCAAAGATAACTGTTGCAGGAAAACAAGAACCTACAACAGCTCATAACACTACTGGCCGATACAATTATCTTTTTCTAATGGATTTGGAGGTAAATACATATTCATAAGTACAAATATTCTTTCGTTTTTCCTATAACTACTACTACTATTAATATCCTTATTTTCTTCTATCATTTGCATAGGGTAACAAAGTGACATCCACATTATATGATACAAACATCACAGCACTTGATGATCAACTAAAACTTGGAAATGCATGTGATGTCTAATGCAACAGTTAGAGATAACATAAGCGAATTCAAAAACTCTCTCGAAGACAATTTGGAGCATAACACGGAAAACAAAAATAGAAGAATTGAGGAAAATATAAATTTCATCTTCTCAAAATATCAGTTCACTTCATTTAACGAACTAGAAAGACATATGAATACTAAGATGAATATAAGTAGACTTCCAAACATACCTTACATCTAATAATTTCGTTCAACTTTCATGCTTCTNAATCAGTTACAGAAGACGATGACGTGGCAATCCGGGTTAACGGAACTCGAGGCGCTACACAAGTTTTATTCATATTATTTCCTTTTTATGTAGTAATTAATTTGTAATGAAGAACAGAAGACTGCAAAACTGTTATTAAGAAAGAAACATACACTTCAAAATAGGATCTCTGTGAAATTATCTATTACACTTTTACATTAACAATGTTAAAGTTTTTCAATACGGCTATTTTGTTGTATTAACATTTTTAACCATTTCTGATCTGATATAACTTCTTATTCAACAGAGAAAAAAATAAGTCTGCAAAGATAACTGTTGCAGGAAAACAAGCACCTACAACAGCTCATAACACTACTCGCCGATACAATTATCTTTTTCTAATGGATTTGGAGGTAAATACATATTCATAAGTACAAATATTCTTTCGTTTTTCCTATAACTACTACTACTACTAATATCCTTATTTTCTTCTCTCATTTGCATAGGGTAACAAAGTGACATCCACGTTATATGATACAAACATCACAGCACTTGATGATCAACTAAAACTTGGAAATGCATGTGATGTCTAATGCAACAGTTAGAGATAACATAAGCGAATTCAAAAACTCCCTCGAAGACAATTTGGAGCATAACACGGAAAACAAAAATAGAAGAATTGAAGAAAATATAAATTTCATCTTCTCAAAATATCAGTTCACTTCATTTAACGAACTAGAAAGACATATGAATACTAAGATGAATATAAGTAGACTTCCAAACATACCTTACATCTAATAATTTCGTTCAACTTTCATGCTTCTTTTGCGCAATATTTGAGGCCGATTCTATTCTAAAAGCTAGTTCATTTGTATGTACCTTTCAAATGACTCCCACCGACACAAATAATCTGCATCAAATATTGCACAAAGCCATATATACTTGCATCAAATGCAAGAGAAAATAATGAAACTTGTTACGGGAATCGATTTCAATGTCACAATGTGTCATTGTACCTAACTTATTCTCTCCAAGAACGTGACAATATGATGACAATTTTTGAAAACTTAATTGTCACTACGTGCTTTACTATAACTGACTCTCACGTCAGTTTACGTTCCACATCACATATAATCCCTATCAGATCATATGGTGGATTTGGATCATCCAATCTTATCTCCCTATATTATTTTGAAACTACGATTAAAGTGATAGTATTTTTTCACCACTTTTATTTGTCTTCTATGTACACAAATGGTCCCTCATTTGACATGACGAATTTCAAATATTCAGTCATACCTAAGCGTAGACAGAATAAAATGATAAGCATACTGCACAAATTTAATGTATTACGGTTTAAATGCATGCATGATGCACTTTTGAATAATTTCTATCGAACAATTTCAAACTGGTTAAATACACATTTAAAATGTCTATTCAAACAGTTATGAAATGTCAATATCGGATATATGGTATATGATGTGAAAACATTCTTTTTGAAGCATAAAGTACGTTGATCAATACACAACTACCATATGAATAACTCTCAAATAATTATTTACACAAATCTATATTATATAGAGAATCTTTCAACTTTTTCATGCTTTCAAATAGATATATTTTTTCAATTTAATCCAAATTAATGAACGAAGAATAATTTGGAAAGTACTGCTTTCTTAGTATTTGTAAGTTAAAGCTACTAAATTCTAAATTAACATCAAATTGGAAGACAAACCAACTACGATTTCAACTTTGATATTTCAATCCTTGTAGGAAAAAAAATAACTTACGACGCGTTTGATTGCGAGCATAGAATTTATATGAAAAAAAATAAATTTTAGACAATTCAATTGCCTAAAACTTATTTGTATGGAAATTATTAATTTCAACCTAAAAAATATTATACTTGTCTAATTTTTATTGGTGAGTAGATAAAAAAAAAAGAGAGAATGAATTCCCTGGAAAATAAAATCCTACTCCCCCTAAAGAAAATATTTTCTTTGATTTTGAAAAAGATATGATCACTTGACCAAAAGTAGGAAAATATTTTCCATGAAAAAAATGTCAATCAAACAGCACAAAAGTGGGAATTTGGAACGAAAAACACATTTTCCATGGAAAATATTGGTAATCAAACGCACACTGAGATTCTTTGAGAAAAACCTTCATTTTTTCATGTCAAGAAAATGTTAGTAAAATATTTTTTTCCTTTTTTATATAATCTTACCTATTATTCATTAAGAGTCTGTTTGTCTACCATTATTGGTGGAAAAATGGAGTAAGGAATAGTATTTTTTAGAGAATGTGTGGTTGAAATTTAAAACAATTTTATTGGTTTTTGTGTGGAATATTTTATTGAGTGAATATGTGGTTGAGATTGTTTACTGTCAAAAACAACAAGGGCTAAATAATAACTTGAATTCATTGTTAACTTCTCTAACAAGTCATACATCGTCTTTTTTGTATATATAATCTACCTATAGTAAATGTGTTCAAAAGAGTAATGAAAATGACAAATTAGACTTTTTGCACTCAAAAAAATAACATTTTTGCAAGATTAAAAAAGAAAACAAAAAAAAAGTGACAAGTTCTTGGTGTATTTTCAAATTAGTGAAATTATACATCCCACTCAGCTGCCGATCTATATGCAGATTAATTCATAACAAAAATGCTTCGCATCATCCACTCAGACTATCATCAACAAAACCTCCATGTCTTGTCAATGACGATATATCAAAACCCGTCATCAAGAAAGCAAGTCGTTAAGAATGTGTCGTCTCCAGAAAATTGGCAACTAGGTGGGTTGACTAGGCCGGAGTCTAGATCATAATGCCTAATCTGGCTATCCATGTGATATCTCAAAAGCTGTAATCAATTTCCATTTCTCCCAAACATTATAGCAAAATGTAGCTAACAGATAATTAAACTTTTCCCTTGTTTGGCCACCATTAAAATTTTAATACATTTTTCCCTCCTCTTTTCAACCATACATTTTCCAATAAAATAATATTACACGTAAACCAAAAACTTTTCTTTCTTTTTTAACCACACATTCTCCCAAAAATCACTATCCAAAATACATTATTTCCAAAATCTCATTAAAATATGGGACAAACAAGGGCTTTACTGTTAATACTCCATATTGAAATTTTCACACAATAAACACTATAACATCAGTAAGTCACCGCAAGCATCACGAGCAGAGTTCAATTTACACCTCACAACATTAATTTACATCTAGAGTGATCTATCAACATATCCTCGGAAAAAAAATACCTTAATAATTTAGATCTGTCCCTGCAGGAACCATTAGAACAGCTGCTCCATGACAAAATAAAAAGGATATACAGATATCATACCTCCACTTGAGAAATTTTTTTAGTTTTCAAGTGCGTTTCATGTTTCTCCACTTGTCCTTCAAATCAACCTGAAAACAATCATATTCAATAGCCTATGGTTATGAAAGCAAAAGAAACTAGTCATAAGCGTGAGACACAAAGCTTATTTACTTGNTCATATTCAATAGCCTATGGTTATGAAAGCAAAAGATACTAGTCATAAGCGTGAGACACTAAGCTTATTTACTTGAGTTCTTCTGTCAGCAAATCTGTGGCCGTACTTCTCTAGGATATCTTTCCAACTTCCTTCTCCACAGCTTCAAGGGAACAAAATACACTAAGTTAATGCAATTTTCCTGACCTCCATATACTAGGAGATGCAATCATTAACAAGAAAACGGCAGAGAAGTCAAAAAACTTCCTTCTCCACATCTTCAAGGGAACAAAATACACTAAGTTAATGCAATTTTCCCGACCTCCATATACTAGGAGATGCAATCATTAACAAGAAAACGGCAGAGAAGTCAAAACAGAAAAGATAGAACAATGGTTCCCATGCAGACAACACTAATAAAATAAAACAGAGAGAGAGAGAGAGAGAGAGTGGAAGAGAAGGAAAAGAGGAAAAGTGGAACAAGGAAGGGGAAGAGCATCTTAGCTATGATGCATGGAGACTCCAACACATATCAGGCGCCAATACTCTTCGAACTCTCAAGAACTTGTGACCTATGTTTTTTTTCATTCCGACGCTTCGGGCATTCATCTAGCACACTATCACGTGTCCTCAACACTTCGAGGACAAGGAAAGTCCCACTTCAAAAATTTTGAAAGTGAAATTATGAAAAATTTTACTTACTAAAATATTTGTTTAGAAAAGTCATGATAACGTGAGAAAAATTCTACAAACTTTATGTCAAATTTGTTATATATCTACTATATGCATTTTTCGTCTCTAGTAGAAATAAAATATAGTTTAATTCAAAGGTATCTTGATATAACAAATATCCACTTCTCTAATTCAAAAGATTTCACCTGCAAATAACAAAGCTAAAAAAAGTAGTAATTTTGTTGAAAATATAAAATTGTAAAAATGGAGCTACAGCTCATGAATGAATTAAGTTCGAAGAATGTAAATCAACATATCCCCAATGTGCCTGTGTACTATTTTTTGAAAAGAGGTCAAGTATTGGCATCTCCGAGTTGTTTAGCGTGTCCATGTCCGTGCTTCTTGCAAATAGAGTCAATATATTGAGGAGTAAAATGATGGTGCTGGCACAAATATTATATATCCTTGAAGAACAGGAAACTGACATCAAAAATATGTTTATCCAGCAAAAGAACCACTTCAACCAAGATGGAAACTCCAATGAAAAACAGTCAAACAAAATTTATGTATTAATAGTCAGTAATAAGGTGCATGAACAAACAATTACATACTCCTCTACACCAGTCCTCAGAGCATCTTCTTCATCCGCACTCCATTTTCCAACTCTTCTCCTCTTCTTTGGTTGTTCTCTTCCATTACTTGTCAGAGGAGATACACGCCTTCTCTTTGGGCTCGGCAACTTTATTCTACTCCCCTGATCTGGTGATTCTTCTGATGAATTCTCAATTGAGTCATCCCACTGCAAAGACAATTCCATAAATCACAGTGCATCACTGGCATGCAAAAAAATTTAATTATGGTACTTCTATAGTTCGATTTATATATAACCTCATTCAACTTGCATGCAGAAATGTGTTAAGGGTGGGCATGATCTTTCTGCACAATACAATATCTAAAAACGTAATAGCATTATAATATGGGTGCTACAGAGATATTTTTGGAGCATAATTAATGTACTAATAGAATAAAGGTTCTGCTAGAATTTTCATTCATAGGAGCTCAACGTAAACAAGAAACAAAGACCATTCATGTTTCCTACAGTAATTAAACACCTGTTCATGTTTAAATAATAACTACTGATATAGGTAATGGTGGATTTGTCACCTCATGAGTATGGGCAGTACTATTCCTTTCCATTAAGCTTGGTCTCGGTCCATTACTTGGATTTCCTCCATTAGCTCGAACAAATCCAGCAACTTTCATAGCAGAAGGATAGTGTTTGACATGATCCTCTTGTATGGGCTCATGATCTGTACTTCCTCTCATCGTGTCGGCGACTTCTTCAGCAAATGCTAGTTCATTAGGAAGGGGGTCCTTTACGCTTGCTTGAAGATCCATGCGACTTGACTCGAGAGCTTCCTGTATTCTATTAACTTCTGGGGTCGGAGGCAAATTGCATTTGCTACCAGGGCATACTTTCAAATAGTCAGAATCAGAAATCTTAGCTCCTCTAAAAGTCCCAGATGATCTAACCCTGGCATGTTTTTTACCAACAAGTTTGCGACTCAATGCTGCATCTTTTCGCAATGCTACAAGAAAACATGGAACCACCTAAACATGAGGAGTAACTCATAAAACTGAAATAAGCCCAATCAAAGAAAAGAACAATAAAGACGCACGAAATGTATGACCTAATAAGCATGACCATATTCATGGTTGAACCAGACAAATTATAAAATGGCTTTCAATGTTCTTATTAAATTTATTAGCAAGCACAAATAACGAATTTTCACAATTTAAAGGGTTAAAGGGAAAAGTTCAGATACCCATGTATTTCCCCACTACTTGACAACATTATTACAACTTTTATCAACTAAAACATCCACAAGATTACCTCTGTTGTCATTAGTAACAGCGGAACCTGGATCAACACTCTGCAAAACCGTTTCTTTTGGCGCAATCCGATTGGCATTCCCCAATCCGAGCAACTTCTTCAGTGTCTCATCATTCTTCAATCTATCAGCAACCAACTCAAGAAACGAAGGCCCCCGTCCCTCCCTTTCTTCTTTCAAATAAGCCCTAAGTGCCTTGACTGCATTAACTTCCTTACTCTTATTTACCACCCTCTCACGAACACCATGGTCCTGTGCTGCAGCCTCCATCTTAAGCCTCCAGTCAAACAACTCGTCCGAACCCAACCCTCCCTTCTCCACCTCCTTCTCCATTTTCCTTACCCTACGCGTCCACACACTCTTCACTGCGTCACAAAATTTTCCCCCATCCCCATCTTCATTTCTGAAATACTTCACTGTGTACTCCACTGCGACTTGGCAATACGCGTTCTTCATGGCATCGGAAACTTTTTCGATTCCTCTTTGGTATTCTAGTTCTTCAAGATATTCCAAGTGTTCAAGAGTTGTCAACGAAGGTGAAGAATCGCGTGTAATATCCAACTCCAACTGTTTCAATATAAGCATTTTTCTCAGAAAATAATTGTCCTCCGGGATAGGGAAGGTTTCGAGCATATTATACAATTTACTGTCATCCACGGGTTGTTTAAGAGCGAATTCGAGAATCCAACTTAAAATAATGGGATCGATGTCCATGGTGGAATCTTAATTTATGTTTTGCAGGAGAAGAAATGGGGAAATTCAAGAGGTTTTGGAAGAGGAAAAGGTAAAGAAAGCTCTCTTATTTTGTTGCGGGTCAGAAACGGGTTAGGAACCAAATGTGGGGGATTTTGCCCAAACGGGAGGATATACATGAAAAAACGGCTATATTTCTTTTGGCCTCTGTTTGGTATCCATTCTTTTTTTCATTCTCATTTTTCTATTAAT